CTGATGTCAAACACCATAACTGCCAGCAATATATCTCCCCCACCCCCCTCTTTTACAATTTTAATTATGGCCCAGGAAAGGGGAGAGCTGGCGTGGGGGGCGGCAAATACCCATTCCACACCTGGGCTGCGAGACTCACAGCACAATCTTCCTGTCGATTAAATGCAGAGGGTCTGGCTATTGCCAAAATACTGCCGGAGATCAGAGACATGGAGGACTTGAGTAGAATCATTTTCCTACCCAGAACCACATGGATTATTCATAATAATTTTGTTCTTGGGCTTGTGGCCTGTGGTATTAATACTCTAGAAGCGGCAGGATCCGGGGATAATCAGGCTGTCAGACTATGATAAATATGTAGATTGTCCCTAAAGGTATTTGCTCCTGCTCTATTTATTATTGTCGTCTACTGAGGCCAAACCTAGTCAGCTCTTCCTTGGCTCCTTCATATCAATACACTGTAACTGTTAGATTCTGAATTATTCTCTCCAAATTCTACCTATCCTGATTGTTGTAGAGGACCGTTACATGCAGCGATCAGCTAGCAGTGAATGGCTCTGCTGGCCTAGTGACAGGAACATGTCAATTCCTCATTGTGATACCACAAAGTGTTTGTTGTGAAAATGCCAGTAGACAAGCTGCATGTATGATGTGAGCAGCAGCGGGAGCCATATTAGCCTGCAGAATAATTACCAGCAGCAACATTGTCCTCATTTCCACTCTTAACGTTAATACAGCTCGCTCGCGTGGTCTGATAGATACTGACTATTAACACATTCTTTGTCACGTTTGCTGCTTCTCCAAGAACCAAGTTCACTCCTTTTTTTTTTTTCTCTAAATTTTGACTTGTAGATTCTTTTTTGTAAATTCTTTATTTTGTCATACAGGTGAGTACAATAAACATAAGCAAACGCTACAACAGCGTACGTGTGCGTGTAAACAAATCGAGCATTAGTTCTGATAATACAAGTGTTGATCATGCGCGATCCTGAATACTCAATAGTCGTCAAGCGCCATATTGTTTAACAGGAAAATGAATACAATAGTAACATCGGTGCATAAGAGCGCATTTACAGAACAGATAAAAACTCTAGATTGAATAGCTTAGTAAAAACGTAGCAACGCTTCCTCTATAAATTATAGTATGCTGCTGTGTCTCCGAACTAGCAAGGTTGGCAGGAAAAATAAGGCAGTAACATCGTAGTAACAACAGAATTAAGACGGATATGATGCATGAAGTCCGAATACAGGAGCAGTATTATTGATTGACATTTGGGACATAAACTGTAAAGCTCAATTCAAGGTCTCATGCACACGTGTCAATATTATGGTGCCAACACTGGGATTCAGTTTCTAGTGCCTGATGCGGTACAGATCAGGGGACGATTCCTTGAATCCAGGCTTCCACTCGGAGCCTCCCGTAGAAGTGAACCCCAAGGGAAATTATGAGGTCGGAGTTAGCCTAATGGGTTGGGTCTGTTTGTGTGTCCCCTAGGTCGGGTATGGGTTATGTCTGTGTCTAGTCACCTTGATGTATTGTTAATCTATTGCTTAGCTCCTATCCGCTCAGTAGTTAGTTATGTCCTACCTCGATGACATGTTCTCCATGCGTCAGAGCCTGTTCTGCCGCTGTCTTTCAGTCTTGTGTAAGTCGGAAGATCGTGTCAGTAGAACTATCTACACGTCATGGTAATATCTTGTGCGTCAACGTGTTCGAGCCCTCCCGGTTCCGACCCCCTCGGCCGCAAGCCGCACCGCCCCCGCGGTGTCCCTTAGTGAAGTTACCCGTAAGCAGTAGTTGTAGCAGGTATAAAAAGGGGGGAGGAGTAGGAGGAAAAGGAAGGGGATGTGGAAGGGTCTGTGAGCAGTTTACATCGGAGTGCGCCCGGGCATCCCCAACCCCCGGGTGTCGCAGTGAGCTCGTGCCTCTCTAAGTTCTGGTACGGGAGAGATAAACATACCATGGGGTCCAGATGTCGACATGTCTGGTGCTTCTCCCTAGTAGTTCTGCGTATCGTGCCTCAGCTGTGTGTATTTCCTCAACTCTCTGTAGCCATTCTGCTACGGTTGGTGGGTGGATCTGCTTCCACTTAGCTGGTATAGATGCTTTCGCAGCATTGAGCAGGTGTCTCAGTATCGATCTCTTATATTGGGCTATCGAGCTTTCCGTAAAGTGTAGTAGGGCCATTTCCATGGTAAATTCTGGTAAGTCTCCCACGATTGTCGTTATCTCCCTCTTGATGTCTTCCCAGCATGGTTTAATCCGCGCGCAGTCCCACCAGATATGTCGTAGGGTGCCTGTTTGGGATTCGCATCTCCAGCACGTATCTGTCGTTCCCGGGAATATCCTGTGTAATAGAGATTGGGTTCTGTACCAGTGTGAGAGTAATTTGAAGTTGACCTCCTGATACCTTGTGCTTATGTAGCTCTTGTGTTGTAATATTAATATCTGCTCCCATTGCGCCTCTGTGTACGTCCTTGCCGTCAGTTCTTCCCATTGCCTCTTAAATGCATTTTTACGTGTGCGATCCCCTGTGATCAACTGCTGGTAAAGGATTGATACTCTGCCGTCTGTGTCGGTGTTTGTCACGCAGAGGTGTTCGAACCACGTCTGTTCTCTGTGGATCGCTTCACGGTTGGGGAGGTTGTAGTAGAAGTGCCGCAATTGTGTGTATCGAAATCTGTGCATCAGTGTGTGTAGTGTCGCCGTGCTCCATTCTGGCAGGTTTCTCATTCCTGTGTTGCTCAGGACCTTGGACAACGGGATATAATCTCCGTCTCCATCTATCGGCCAGGCAGATCGGTGTAGTCCCCCGCCTATCATGCTATTGTGTGTTATCGGGATCAAGGGGCTTGGTTGTGGGGAGATATATTGGTTTCGCCTCAGGGAAGACCACGTCTTCAGCGTTTGTACGATGGGTGATTCATTGCCCAGTTTTGGTGCCGCGTCCGCTGTGCCTTGCCATATGTACATGTGGAGGGCCTTGTTCGTACTCTCCCTGTCCAAGGCAGCCCACAATTTGTGTTCAGGTGCTGTGTGCCAATCTCTAATCCGTTGTAAAACCGTGGCCTGAAAATATTTGCGAACGTCGGGCAGCGCCAGTCCGCCCCAGTTTTTGGGTAGACACAATTTGTCGTAGCTGAGTCGTGCTCTCTCTCCCTTCCAGACATATTTTATCACCGCCGATTTAAGTGTTGTAAAGAATTCTGGGGGTACGTGCCAGGGGATGGTGTGAAAATGGTAAAGCAACCTTGGTAGAATATTCATTTTAACCACCGCTATGCGTCCCTGCCAGGATATGTGGTCAAAGTTCCAATTTTTGAGGTCGAGCAGTATTGTGCGTAGAAGGGGCGTGTAGTTTCTGGCATATATCTCTTTCGGTTCACTGGGTATCCAAATTCCCAGGTAACGCATCTGGCCTGGGCACCAGTGGAAGGGGAATTCGCGTTCGATCCGTTCCCTTACAGCTGTTGGGGCCGACACGTTCAACAGTTCGCATTTAGTTTGATTTAGCTTCAGTCCCGATACCCGGCCGTATATGTCAAATTCCTCCATCAGAGGCGGCATGGAGTTGATAGGGTTGTCGATAAAAAAGAGCATGTCATCCGCGTATGCGGCTACCTTATGTTCCTGGTCCTTATGTCTAAACCCCCTAATCTCTGGGGTTTGCCTTATCCTGTCCAAGAACGGCTCCAACGAGAGGGCAAATAGGAGCGGCGATAGCGGGCAGCCCTGCCTGGTGCCATTGTGTATGGTAAAGCTGTCTGTGAGCGCGCCATTCACCCTCACTCTGGCACTAGGGTTAGCGTAGAGCGCCTCTATCCAGGCTAACATTCCCGGTCCTAGGCCGACCTTATGCAGTGTTGCCATCATGAAGCTCCACGTTACCCGATCATTGACTTGTAGATTCAAAGATGAGAGCGACATTTATTTATATATAAAACAATATTTGTTTAATAAATAGCTTATATTTCCTGCTGTGCCCACATAATATAAGAAGACATTTTTTTTAATTAACCTGTTAAAGTAGCTGCATTTTAATTTATTTTGAGCCACAAGCTGCTATTTCTCATTCCTATGGATGTACAGATCCCGTTAGTAGGTAAATGCATGTAAAATGAAATATATGTATAGCAGCATTTCTCCTGATAAGAGCTTTGCCTTTTGTCAAACAGTTCTGTTTGTCAGAGCTAGAACCTCTCCAACAAAAACGAAAGAGGTGTCTTGTAATGGGAAAGTCTCTGAGTCCTGTTATAATTGGTGCCGTATACTTTAGCTATCATCCCTAGTATTTTGTAAGAACTTTCTAAAGGTGTCTCTACCCCAGAAGAAATAGGGGAGCTCTGCTAAAGACAAATAATATTATTTTATCCTGTGTTGATCTTGGCATGGGCCCCATTCAAACCCACATATTACACAACCATTCCTTGTACCAAACCCTTTATACTAATACTGTGACATTATTATAGAAGGAATGAGATATTATTAAACATGAATTTTTTAAATTAAGGTAATAGAATACCTCCAGGCCCTTTCTGTTAGGAGTAGGAGAGGTTATGGACATTATATATTTACTTCTGATTTTCTGGTCATCAGCTAGGAAGGGGTTAATAAAGAGGACAGTATATTTAGTATTTGCAGCCACAGGCCCACCCCATATACATGGTCCTCTTATAATTTGAGGAGTGTCCACTGAGTGTTTTTTCATTAAATGCCTATTATACACCTCTTGTATTCTGCATAGAAAATTATTTAACCCCCCAATATAAGACCCCCTTGCACCATAACAAGTTAATTGCAATTAAGTTGTAATGGTACCCAGAGTGCCCCTTTCAGATGTCAGTGCCAAAATAGTATGTATGCAAACAAAGCCATATACAGTCACCAGTTTATATTTGATGCGTCCTTTAAATGTACAGGTATTTTCAGCGAGTGAGGAATAGTTCAGTTTCCACACCTCCAATACAGCACTTAGACCAGATTTCCTCAAACTCCGGCCCTCTAGATGTTGCTGAACTACAACTCCCATGATTCAGTGAATGAAATAGGCTGAGAATCATGGGAGTTGTAGTTCAGCAACATCTGGAGGGCCGGAGTTTGAGGAAGCCTGACTTACACAATCCACCTTTGCAGATAATTGACCACATTCTGAATCATAACAAAACCTTGAATTTTACCTATCGGTTTGTTCTACGGTAATTTAAGAGTTTCTCTTCAAGTTCCCCTAAACATATATTATTTATATATATATATATATATATATATATATATATATATATATATATATACAGTTGCAAGAAAAAGTATGTGAACCCTTTGGAATGATATGGATTTCTGCACAAATTGGTCATAAAATGTGATCTGATCATCATCTAAGTCACAACAATAGACAATCACAGTTTGCTTAAACTAATAACACACAAAGAATGAAATGTTGCCATGTTTTTATTGAACACACCATGTGAACATTCACAGAGCAGGTGGAAAAAGCATGTGAACCCTTGGATTTAATAACTGGTTGAACCTCTTTTGGCAGCAATAACTTCAACCAAACTTTTTCTGTAGTTGCAGATCAGACGTGCACAACGGTCAGGAGTAATTCTTGACCATTGCTCTTTACAGAACTGTTTCAGTTCAGCAATATTCTTAGGATGTCTGGTGTGAATCGTTTTCTTGAGGTCATGCCACAGCATCTCAATCGGGTTGAGGTCAGGACTCTGACTGGGCCACTTCAGAAGGTGTTTTTTTTTTTTCTGTTTAAGCCATTCTGTTGTTGATTTACTTCTATGCTTTGGGTCATTGTCCTGTTGCAACACCCATCTTCTGTTGAGCTTCAGCTGGTAGACAGATGGCCTTAAGTTATCCTGCAAAATGTCTTGATAAACTTGGGAATTCATTTTTCCTTCGATGATAGCAATTCGTCCAGGCCCTGACGCAGCAAAGCAGCCCCAAACCATGATGCCCCCACCACCATACTTCACAGTTGGGATGAGGTTTTGATGTTGGTGTGCTGTGCCTTTTTTTCACCACACATAGTGTTGTGTGTTTCTTCCAAACAACTCAACTTTGGTTTCATCTGTCCACAGAATATTTTGCCAGTACTGCTGTGGAACATCCAGGTGCTCTTGTGCAAACTGTAAACGTGCAGCAATGTTTTGTTTGGACAGCAGTGGCTTCCTCTTTGGTATCCTCCGATGAAATCCATTCTTGTTTAGTGTTTTATGTATTGTAGATTCGCTAACAGGGATGTTAGCATTTGCCAGTGACCTTTGTAAGTCTTTAGCTGACACTTTAGGATTCTTCTTCACCTCATTGAGCAGTCTGCGCTGTGCTCTTGCAGTCATCTTTACAGGATGGCCACTCCTACGGAGAGTAGTAGCAGTGCTGAACTTTCTCCATTTATAGACAATTTGTCTTACCGTGGACTGATGAACAGCAAGGCTTTTGGAGATACTTTTATAACCCTTGCCATCTTTATGCAAGTCAACAATTCTTAATCGTAGGTCTTCTGAGAGCTCTTTTGTGCGGGGCATCACTCACATCAGGCAATGCTTCTTGTGAAAAGCAAACCCAGAACTGGTGTGTGTTTTTTTTATAGGGCAGGGCAGCTGTAACCAACACCTCCAATCTCATCTCATTGATTGGACTCCAGTTGGCTGACATCTCACTCCAATTAGCTCTTGGAGATGTCATTAGTCTAGGGGTTCACATTCTTTTTCCACCTGCACTGTGAATGTTTACATGGTGTGTTCAATAAAAATATATATATTTTTTTTTTTTAAAGAATAGAACAGGCTTTAATTTCATATCCTATATGTATACCTAACATTATTACTTGTGAATAAAAAATTTAAAATGGGTAAAAATATGCTTATAGTAATTTTTAGATATCTAGTGGAACGAGATATAAAGAACTCAACATAGATTCATATATCAGTCCTGATTGTTAAATGCCTAATATATTTAGGAACTAAATTAATTTTTTATAGATAATGTTAACCCTAGCATTAATGGGTATACCAGCCATACCCCTTACCCAAAGCTTACACTCACTGTAACTGTATGCCTGCACTAATCTTAATCTCAACCCTACACTATATTTAACTCTAAAACAGCATTATCCCATGAACAGCATTAACCCTTACCTAACACTAACTCTAACCCTACCCTACTCTCTTACCCAGAACTCTATCATAACCCCAATCCTAAACACAAGGTAACCCATTGCTAATATCAATTCTGTTAGAAAATGATTGTGACCTCCATCTACTGGCTGTTTTTCATAATCACACAAGTTTGGCAAAGACCCAATTAAGGGTCGAAATGTTGTAGTGTTCCATTGGTTCTAATAAATGTGCATGAAGCTAGAGGTGTCTTTGGACGGCACTCAAGGCTGCCAGAGACAAACCGGCTCTGGCCTATCAAGAGTCCCAGTGAAACTTCAAATATTTGATAGTGCAACCCAAGTCGTGATTGCAGGTGGTGAGGGACAATCCTCTATTTACGCATTGCAGCACTTAAAATGACCTCAGAACACTCCTCTCAGCACTTGTGAACGGGAATCCGCACTGGAGTAGAGCAACCCACAGCAGCTATCACAGCTCCTGTCCTTGACCTGTGCCTGGTCCCCATTGAACCCCAGGGAAACCAGTCGCACTGCTAGATACACACATAACTGCATCACTGACAATCCACATAGACACACACAAAACCCCACAAGCAGCCTCTCACATGCAATACCACAAGCAGCCATACACATTCACAAACCGCCAAACATACAAGTTGAAACACAGTCCACATTCACAGGTATGATACACAAAACCACAAACTACTTATGAAAATATACAATGCAATAGCCCACATACTCCGAAATACAAAACTACAAATTAACTGCAGCACCCATAAATAACACAAACAGAATACGGCAACATGCACACCTCCGTTTAAAAAGAATTAACGGCACACAAAGGGACTTCAGGATCTTGTTTTGGCACAGTACTACTTAAAAGACCACTAAAGGCACCCAGACCACTTCAGCTCAATTAAGTGGTCTGGGTGCCAGGTCCCCCTAGGGAGCTTCGCATGGAGACGCTGAACGTTCCCCATAGAGATGCATTGATTCAATGTATCTCTGAGAAGATGCTAATTTGTGCTGCGTGGCGTTTTACCGCGCATTTGCAATATCCTCCCAATGCGTTCCTATGAGAAAGCATGGGAATGGTTGAGATCATTAGAACTGATGATCTTTGCCGTAGAGGCAGGGCCAGGTCCGGCGAGACCAGCATGGCGATGGAGAGAAGGTAAGTTTAAAAAACTTTAATCTTTAAAGGGCACCGCGGGAGCTAAACATGTGTTCCGGCATGTCAATCTAGATTTAAAAGAAAACATAGCATGTCATGAAAAAAAGTTCTAGGTGATAGTCAATGTCCTACCTGATAATGTATATTTCGGGGAATTGACAGTTCCTCTTTGATAAAAAGCCTCTCATAAATTATGACACATTCGCAGCATCAGCTTTGTGTATGTTTTAAACTTTTTTTTAAACCGGATCACAAAATCTGAGTCTACCAAGCACCCAAAGCCGACAACCTCTGCTGGTAATAAGGAAGTTTAATTTCCTTATTATCCAGATATTATTGGGGTTATCCTTATTATCCTTCCATTTAAAAGGAGTGGGCTGTGCAAAATGTCCATTATCCTCCTTGCCTCGTTTTGTCTTGAACTTACAACAAACTTTTTTGTGAATGTAACGGACTGTTTTGCACACAAGAGGTTAAAAACCAGATGCACAGGCAGCTACTGCAATCACCAATCTCCTGAACTGGAACCATACAAATCCTCCAGCTCCCGAACAGGAAACACACGAATGCTGTTAAACAGCCGAAAAGGGAAAAACCATACGAACAGTTTACACTCCTGGCAGTCGCACTGTAACAGCATACAATCCAATTCTCCCCAAGAACAAGACGACATTTCGTTTGAGGATCAAACAGAACTGATTTACTGGGGCTACCTGCCTGGCATTTATGCAGGTCTCCCACCTGGTGGACACTCCCTTAGGGGACCAGATGGAAGACTGGGATACAGGACAGACACTGACCAATTACAGACATACAGTGTAAAAACATTCCCACAATACATTGTAATCCCTCCTCTCTATCCTGGAGATAATTGGGAAGTAATCCAATTATCTCCAAGGACAGAGGCAAGACTCCATTAACCATATGGCAGACCAAGGACGGTAAAAAGACATTAAAATATACAATGTTACATTTATTACATAAAATACCCACATGTAACTTATCCCCAGATAGCTTAGCTCTGAGCGAACATTATTACCGAATGGCGCTCAGATCTCACACATATAGTTCAATTGCCATGGAGCCAAAGTCTCTTAATACCCGAATAGGCTCCATGGCATAGCTATCTGGGTTAAAGCCTTCACATAGTTAAAGTCCCGATTGATCCGGTGTTCGTCTAAACGACCAGAGCTAGAAGCAGGGAAGGCTGGCGGCTCAGCGATGTTCGCGAGTATAGGTGTCCATTTTTAGTTCCATGAATTTGGGTCTGAACACCGCTGGCCGCGCAGAATGCTGCCACCCTGTGTTAGTTATGCGCAACCGCGACCACCCGGTAGCAATCAATTAAGCTGCGGTTAACCGCAGCTACTGGGTGGTCAATTGACGGAACACGCAGCTTCTGGGAGGCCAATTGAAGACATCCAAAAGTCCCTGGTAGTTGGCCATTTGTTAGTTTGTTCGGTAGATTCAATCCACGAATAAGCCTTTCTGCAGGGAAAATTTGTGTTTTTAAATGCCAGTCCATAGTCTAAAGGGAGCAGGCGGGCAACCAGGCTCCTCCAGTGCACAGTGGCGAGGTTGGTTCCGCCACAGTGAATTTTACTACCGTATTTTCCGGCGTATAAGACGACTTTTTAGCCCTGGAAAATCTTCTCAAAAGTCGGGGGTCGTCTTATACGCCGGGTATAGGGTTTCCTAAACGTTGGCGCCCCCATTGCCAGCCCTTCTAATGCTGCAGCACTGCCTCTCTCCTCACCTCCCTTTCCCTGTGTAGCGTGGCTGGCCGAG